CATCATCCTCATCCTCATCTTCATCCTCATCCTCATCCTCATCATCATCGTCCACATCATTGTTAGAGTCATCACCATCATAATCATCGCAGTCGTCATTGCGATCGTCAACGCGTTGTCGTGATCGTCGTCGACCTCGTCATCGTCGTCCTCGTCATCGTCGTTCAGGTCAAACTCACCTCCACAACCAACACCACCATCATCATCACCATCATCATCAGCATCACCACCAGCATCATCATCAACACCATAAGTGTCATCATCATTAGCATCATCATCAGAATCAGCATTATCATCCTCAACACCATCATCACAATCGCCATCATTATCACCATCACCATCACCATCACAATCACCATCTCAACCATTATCGTCATAATCATCATCACCATCACCATCGTTCTCATCAACATCATCATCGTCGTCTTCATCGCCAGTGGAGTTATTGTCATCAGCACCATCATCACCATCATCATCATCATTATCCTCATCATCCTCATCATCAAACCTAATCACCATCATCATGATCCGCAGCAGCAGCATCAGCATCAGCATCAATATCGTAATCGTCATCGAAAGTATCATCGTAATTGTCATCATCAACATCATCATCATCAACATCATCATCATCATCATCATCATCATCATCAACAACGTCAGCATCATCAGCATCATCAGCATCATCAGCATCATCAGCATCATCAGCATCATCATCATCCTCATCATCAGCATCATCATCATCATCCTCACCGTCCTTGTCGTCGACGTCGTCGACGTCATCGTCATCGTCATCGTTAGCATCATCAGGATCATCGCCTTCGCCACTCCCCTTCACAAGATACCGACACCGCTGCTCCTCGGCCCTCCCCCGGGGCGCTCTCCGACCAGGATACCTGGGCGGATGCAGCTGCGGCAACGGGGGACGGGTGGCGCTGCCCGCACACTTGTTGGGCGGGCGCACAGACAGGTATTTTGGGGGAAGTATCGCATTGCACGCAGTATTGTGTCGATCATGTACATGCACTTGCTGTGTTCGCATGCCGCTGCCATTTTCATTCGAGTCCTGACGAGCCCCAGCAGGGGCGAAACGTTGACACGCGTACTGAAAAGGCACGGGCTTGAGAGCGCCATACGAGTAAGGGGCGGCGTCTCAGAAGCGGGGCTGCTTCTGGGAAGCCTTCCCCCCTCCCCCCTGCCCCCCGCTGCGCGCGGCCAACGCCTCCTCCTCCGATCCCGGCCCCCCCTCCCTAAAGCAGGGCTAGGATCGGGATAACTCGCTCCAGAGCGTTCCGGAACGCTCTCAGAGCGTTCCAGAACGCTCTGGAGCGGCCGCGGCGCCCAATACATCCTCCAAACCCGCCGATTCTCAGAGATTTCGAGTTATCCCGATCCGATTTTGTCCCGGTCTTCGCGTCGTTTTACTCCCCCTCCCCTCTCTGGCGCCGGTCTCCCCGTTGCGCCTCCACCCTCATCCCCGCGGGGCTCCCTCCGCAGCAGGGGGCGAGCGGCGCAGGAGCAGCGGAGCGGGGGCACCAGCACGTCACGGTCCCTCCTGCGCGCCGGCCGCGCGCCCGCGCGCCAGGGGCGCTACAAGCAGGAGGACCGCGCTGCTCCTGGCTCGCTCTGGGCCAGGAGCGAGGAAGAAGTGGGAGAACCAGGCAAGACATGAGAAGAGGAGACCGAGAGAGAGAGAGAGAAAGAGAAAGAGAAAGCGAGAGATTGATGGATAGAGAGAGAGAGAGAGAGACACACACACACACACACGCGCACGCACGCACGCACGCACGCACGAAGTATCGAAAGATATATATATATATATACACATAGAGAGAGAGAGAACAAGAGAACAGCAAACAAGAGAAGGAGAGGGAGGGAGCGAGACAGAATCGTGGAGGAGCAGGCGGAGGACGAGGGAGAGGAGGAGAGGGAGCAGCTGCAGCTGGGGGGGGGCAGGAGAGGACAGGCCGGCCCAGGCCTCCGGTCCCGCGGGCTGCTGTCGGTGGGGACGTCTCGGAGGCGAGCGGGCGGCCTGGTCCACGGACCCAGGCTGTCAAGTCAGCCAGTGCTGCCAAAATAAGGTGCCGCCCTCGCACTGCATGCATACACACACATATGTATACATATATATATATATATATGTATATACATACATACATACATGCATGCATGCATACATACATACATACATACATACATACCTATATACATACACACTTACACATACATACATACATACATACATACATACATACATACATACATACATACATACATACATACATACATACATACATACATACATACATACATTACATACATACATTACATACATACCTGCATACATACATACATACATACATACATACATACGTACATTCATACATTCATACATACATACATACATACATACATACATACATACATACATACATACATACATACATATGTGTGTTTGTGTTTGGCGTGCACAGATGTATGAATACACACATTTACACACGTGCAGCTACTAGAACCACACGCGCGCGAATCGCGCGCGTTTAGGTTCTATCCTCGCCCAAGAAAATCGCATCGCGAAAGGCTTCGAATTCGATGGCGTTGGCTTTCTGGTAACATCATCGAAGAACTTCCAGGCCACTTCCAGCCGTCTTTGGGCCATCTTGGTGCCTCTTGGGCGCATGCTGGAAATAATTGGGTTCGTTGAGGGCCGTTTCAGAACCGTGTTGAAGACCTCCTGTGCAATCTTTTAGTCTCTTTGGGCCGTTTTGGGGCTGGTTTGGGAGCCTCTCAGGATGTCTCGGAGCCCTATTAAATCCTCTTGGGGCCGTAATGGGGCCATCTTGGGGCTCTCTTGAATCTCTTGGGCCGTCTTGGGCCGTCTTGCGCCCCTCCGAGGCACCTCTTGGGCCGCCTTGAGCCCCTCTGTTGACCCTCTTGAGCCGTCTTAGGCCCTCCCTGGTGCCTCTGGCCTTCTTGAGGCTCTTCTGGGCAGTCTAGAGGTGAAGTTGTGGGCCTCTTGGCCCGGCTTGGGCGCCCTGAGAACGTTCGGTGGCAACTCACGGGAGCCTTCCATACCAGCTTGCTGGTTCTTGCGACCCGACGCTCGTCGACGCTGACCGACACTGAATCGACGCTAAACCGAGGGCAATCCACGCTAATCGGCGCTAGTCGGCACTGAATCGGCGCTAATCGGCGCTCTCATCGATTACCAAACGCTAGCTGGCGCTGAAGAAGGAATTGCGAGGATATGCGAGGCTCCCATGACTTGCCACCGACGGAGCCGAAAGTTAAGCATGCGAGAAGCATACAGCAACCAGTCGGGGAGACGTAAGACTCGGGATCGGGGGACTCGGGTTGGCCTGACCGACCCAGCATGAAAATGACGAGACCGAATCTGAAATTTGGCGCGAACTTCCGCTGCAAACATCCCGCGAAAACCGGACCGTCAGAATCCAGGACGCGCTCGTCAAAAAACGTCGGCAAACCCGAGTTCCAGCTTACTCGAGTCATCCATTCCACGAACCAGAATCGATGCCCTGCGGGAGCTCTGAGAGGAGGTGCTCTTCGGGCTGCGTCGGCTGTCTGGAGCCGTGCTGGAGTGCTCGAGCTGCCCCTCGACCCTGCCGGGCCGCGCTGGTGGACCAAAGCGGCCAGACAGGGCCGAAGCCGCTCTGCGTTGCGGAGGGGCCGCCCGGGAGACCCCAGAAGGGCGTCGGATTGCCAGCGCCGAAAACAAGAGGTAGGGGGTGAAAGCCCCAGAGGGTGTCCCGGCATTTGCCCGGGGTCATCCTGCATGAGAGTCTCCAGACAGTGCTCGCGCTCCGAGAGAGTATCCTGCATGATGTTCTCCAGGCAGTGCATGAGATTCTCCTGCATGAGATTCTCCTGCATGACGTCTGAAGATGCTGGGTGGGTGTTCCTGGTCTTCGCCGCGTTGCCGCCTCGTGGCCGCCTCGAGGGTGCCTCGTGAGCGCCGCGCGCATGCGGGGTCTGCCGATTGTGCGCAACGTTACCGCCCGTGGCTCCTCGCGGGCGCCCCGCGCTTGGAGGGTATGCCAACGCCTGTGCCACCTCGTGGGTGCCCCGTGGGGGGGGGACCGAGGTTGCGCCACGTTGACGCCCGTGTCGCCTCGCGGTCGCCTCGTGGACGTCTCGCGCTCGGGAGGTATGCCGAGGCTCAGCCAGGTTGCCGCCCGTACCGCCTCCTGGGGGTCTCGTGGGCGCCCCGTGCGCTTGGTGCGATTCCCAAGGTTTCGCCACGTGGCCGTCGGCGCCGCCTCGTGGGAGCCCCGCGCACTAAACGTACGCGATATAGCGTTCCCCACATTGCTTTCACCACATGGCTCACACAGTAGATATTACACTAGTATGCATCACACAGCTTACATACCAGAGCTTGCACCTCCAGTTCACACAGCCAAGCCTACACGAAACAGCTTACACCTCATAACTTACACCGCAGTTGCACCTCCATAGTTCACACCACCGAGCTTACACCACGTAGCTTGCACAGTTTAGCTTTCATCTTCACATTGTAACGATGCACTGGTTAAGGTCCGCTCTGGCTAACATTTAGTCTGATGTGGCCCCATGGTGGCCGTTTGGGAGCCTCTGTGTGGGTTCGCAGGAGCTCCGTGGTGTTTCTTGAGGAAGTCTTTGGGAGCCTCGTGGGAGCCTCTGGGGCTGTCAGGGTGGCTTCTTGGGGCGTCTTGAAGCACCGTTGGGCGCCTCTAGGGGGGCATGACCGAACACTCTTGGAGGCTACATCGATTGAAGCCTCGGAAGGATATAGGATACGAAAATTGGAGAAGACCGAAATCATGCATCGTCCCTGGGTTGTTCGAACATGGTTGGTTCCTCAGGGCCTCCTGGGGGGCCCTGAGAGCTCTCTTGGGTTCTCCTGAGGGCTTCTTGGGTCGTTGGGAGCCTTTGGGCGCTTTTGTGGCACATTGAGACCCTTTTGATAGCATCTTGGTGAGCTCCTGGGGGCGCTGTGGTACTTTTGGGGGCGTCATCGGAGCCTATTGGAGCCTTTGTTTGATCGATCGGCGTCGTCGTCGTCGAAGTCCTCCGAGGAGCCGCAAGTCTTGTAGGCCGCGCCACTCGCCCGTTCGAGACAGAACTTTGCTGTCGGGGGAAAGAGATGGTGCGGGAAACCACTCCATGACGCCACCGCGGTGCCGCGCTTTGGCGAAGGCTAGCCAATGAAAACCCAGATTTCACGACTCAAGAAGTTGGCTCGCCATGGGCGCCTTCTGGGCAAGGATGCGGTGTGGTTCTACGCGACAGCTCGTCAAAAACTAAAAACTGTTCCACCAATCTGACGTGCGAAGTAAAACATTGATCTCACGACTATCTACCAATCGCCACGGAAGTGTGTACCGTCTTATGCGCATCGGGCTATTACGCCGCTTCGACATTCTGAATAAGCCACTGTGCACTCAAGAAGTCGACAGACTGATCAGTCGTCAAGCCCACCGAGCGAGAAGGTCCTGAACCGTCGCTCATGTTCAAATAGAGATCTGTCTTATACTTGTTCTGGTACTTGAAGGCTCCGCTCGTACTGACGTTGGAGTCTTGCTTCCACAACATACTGTCGTACGATTCATTGTACTCGGACAGCGCCACGCCAGAGCCATCCTTCACCCAATTCAGAAACTTCTTGGTCCACTGATTCTGGATCCTGTAGTAACCGTCACCCACATCATAAACCCACCACCTCATGCTGGTCCACTCTGAAGACTGTGAATCCAAGATGTAGCACTGCACTTCGCTCTGTCGGGGGTCGTTTGCGGCATTCAGGTAATACGTCCCGCCATCTGTCCACGCACATTGCAACTTGCAACTAACACCCCCTGTAGAAACAAAAGGTTCAATAAGCCACTGTGCACTCAAGAAGTCGACAGACTGATCAGTCGTCAAGCCCACCGAGCGAGAAGGTCCTGAACCATCGTTCATGTTCAAATAGAGATCTGTCTTATACTTGTTCTGATACTTGAAGGCTCCGCTCGTACTGACGTTGGAGTCTGGCTTCCACAACATACTATCGTACGATTCATTGTACTCGGACAGCGCCACGCCAGTGCCATCCTCCACCCAATTCAGATATTTCCCAGTCCATTGGTTCTGGATCCTCTTGAAGCCCTTACCAGCGTCGTGAATAAACCACTTCTCACTGCTCCATTCTGATTCCAAGGTGTAGCACTGCACTTCGCGCTGTGAGGGGTCGCTTGCGGCATTCAGGTAATAAGTCCCTTCGTCTTTCCAAGCACACCTCAGCCTGCAGGCGACTGGCTCGTCGACTGGCGCACCGCGGCTGACTAATAGTTGCAACTTTTTCGATTTTTGTTTCTTCTTCATCTCAGCCAGTATATCTGTAGAGACGCCCTTCACGCCGTTCGCAGCCAGGATGAAGTCGCCCTCCTTCAAGGCCTTGTCTGGGTGAGCCTTGTTGTGTTTGCCCACACTGCCATCCCTGACCCCCTTGATCTTCAGACATTTTGCTTCGTGGTGACCGATGTCCAGACCAATTGCGCCACTTGCGTGTGCAACCTCCACTTCGAAAGTCTCTGGTAGCTTTGCCCAAGACTTCTTTACTTCTTCCTCGGAGACTGGACCCTGCAGAGGGACCTCGGAATCAGTGGCCCGCGTGTCGGTGCAGCAGCTGAACATCGCGCTGCCGCAGGAAGCGCGATATGTACTGTTGACCTGAAGCGATTGTGCAGAATTCCCCCTGCCTCCGCGCAGTCCCTCGAGAACCAGCTCGAGCAAAAAGTCTTGAGCCAAAATGGCTACGGAGGGGCCTCTTGGAGCCTCTTGAGGCGTCTTCGGCGGCATTGGACGCCTCGTGGATGAATCATTGATGCGGCTTGGGCGCTAAGTTGAAGCCTCGGAAAAGTACCGGAACAGAAAAAGGTAAAGTCCAAAAGCTGTTTCTCACCCACCAGTGCTTTCACTTAGGGCTTCTGAATCAATTTTTAATGATCTGGGCTGGGGTGACGCTCTGGCGGCTATGTGGCCTCAATCGCCGCCCCGCCACCGCCCCGTCGCCGCCTCGTCGCCGCCCGTCGTCTGGGCCGGGGTGCCACTCTGGCGGCTATGTGGCCTCTGCCGCGTGCGAGCCCAGCGTGGCCTGGGAAGGTTCAAGACGGGTTGAAACGCACGAGCTGACAACTACGACGACACAAAGACAATTTTTGTTTGCTGCATTGCAGTTGTTGTTGCATTGCAGATGTTTTTGCGTTGTTATGACGCTGCTGAAGCTTGAACTTGAATTCCGCGTGCGAGCCCAGCGTGGTTTGGAGAAGTTCAGGAAGGGTCGAAGCACACGCCGGCGACTTTCAGGAGGGGATGAAGCGAACACGCCGACGACTACGACGACACAATAACTGTTGTGACATTGCAGTGTTCTCTTGCGCTTTAGTAGCACTGCTAGATCTTGAGCTTAAATTCCGCGCGAGCCCAGCGTGGTTAAGGAAGGTTCAGGAAGGGTTGAAGCGCACACGCAAACACTACGACGACACAAACTGTCATTTTGCATTGCAGATTTGTTTTGGAATTGCAGTTGCTGTTGCATTGGATTTGTTTGCGCTGTAGTGGCGTTGCTAAAGCTTGAGCTTGAACTCCGCGTGCGAACCCAGCGTGGTTTGGGAGGTTCAGAAGTTCAGAAGGGGTTGAAGCGCACACGCTGGTGACTACGACGGCACAAATACAGTGTTTCGTGTATTGCTGAGTTTTTTGCATTGCAATTTTTCCTTGCGTCGCCGTCGTCCTCGTCCTCGCCCTCGACTTCCTCGTCGTCGTCGTCGTCGTCATCGTCCTGCCCCTTGCCTCGCCGCAGCCGAAGCTGGGACCGAAAACACTGCTGCGTCAAGTCTGGCTGCGGCGGGAAGGGAGGTGGGGAAGGAGAACATCAGCCGCCATACCAGTTCTGATGCCCCAAAACAAAGGAAAAAAAGGCGCTTGGGCATGAGAACGTTTCACCTCGAACGGCTTAGAATACGTGTGAGAGGTGTGCCGAGATGAGCGTGGGAACGCATGCGGACGTCCTCACTAGCGCCCTGGGTGGAGCTCCCTCTGATGAACGATTCGTGTGATGGGGGTGACGAAATCGGCGTGGAGAAGCATGCGGTCGCCATCACTGGTGCCGCAGGTGGAGTTCCCTGTGGCACGTGGGGCACGGTCCGTGTGAGGGGAGTGCGGAACTGGGCGAAGTCAAGAAGAAGAGTGGAGGAGGACGACAAGTAAGGAGAAGCGCAGCGCAACGGAAAGCAAACAAGGATAAAATAACACACGAAGGTTTTGGAAAACAGCACCTTCGCCGCAGCGTGCAGAAAGCCGGCAAGCGTAAGGAGAACAAGCAGAGTGAAAACGTCGCGATGGGGCGGGGAATTCCCAGGCCCCCAAACTGAGCTCGCCGCTTGGGCCCCACCTCCAGGCACAAAGGCGAGCGTAAATCGAGCGTAGTTCCACAGGAATTGCCACGGGGTGTGCTACCTAAGCATGGGGTGTGCCATGGGGTGCGCGATCCATGGGCGGGTTGTGCCACAACCTGCGCCATCGATGGGCTGCGCCACGGGAATCGCCATTCAGGGCTTCCGCCATAGACTGCGCTGCCCGCGGAGTGAGCCACGGATTGCGCCATTTGTTGCGCGACCCATGGCTTGCGTTAGGTCGGGCATGTCTTCCTACAGGCAAATATTGGAATTACTCACTGCGTGGACCTCCCCATACGTGGACCTCTCTAGGAAAAAGATAGTTCGTTTTTGGGCTATGTTTATGAGCGTCTAGCCATATGAGCGACATGTGCATATCATGTTGCATGCTAGTAATATTGTGAGCATATGTTTATGATAGTGTTGACCTAAGAGCGCGTCCATGTGAGAGACGATCACACGTGCGCGCAGCTCGGCACATTCATTCGCATGCACACATTCATTCGCATGCATATGTTAGCGCATATTGCTGCCAAGGCAAAGAATTCCACGGGTACCACGTCCGATGGATGGGGATGGCCTTCAACCGAGAGCGCCCTTCTGCGGATCAGCAGATCCGCCCCGGATAACGATCCCCCAGTCTGCACGAGCCTGCACAGCAGCAACATAACATTCTGCGTCATCAGAAGTTTCTCCACTCACCCACCCAGGGTGTAACAAAGACGGCCTTCAACCAAAAACACCCTGCCGAACTGTGGATCACTGAATCTGCCCCCTGCAGCCAACCCACCCCGAGGCCGACTCGGCCCCCGGAGGCCCGAGCGAGGACGCGACAGAGGTGCATGGATGAAGCGCACAGGAGAGGGAGCGGAGGAGCGAGAGAGAGAAGGAAACCAGCGCCCGCAATCGTGCTTAAACCAGCGCCCCGCCTGAGACATGCTCCAAATCTGCTCTGACAACAGAAAGGATGTTGAGCCAAACAACAGACAAACCGCCTGAAACATCCCCACAAACTGGCCGCGAACGGGCCCGCCAAAACACCCCAGGGGGTTCCCCGTAAAGGTGCTGAAACCAGCGCCCCGCCTGAGACATCCTCCAAATTTGCTCTGACAGCACAGGATGTTGAGACAGAAAACGAGCAAACCGCTTGAAACATCCTCACAACTGGCCGCGACCGGGCCCGTGAAAACACCCCAGGCGGTTCCCCGTAGGGGTGCTGAAACCAGCGCTTCGTTTGAGACAACCTTACAATTCGGTCTATACGCAGACGATGTTGGCCACCGAAACAGGCAAACTGCCTGAGACATCCTCCCACACACTGGTTGCAAACGGGCCCTAAAAACGTCCCCTGGCGGCTCCCCCAAAGGGTGCTGAAACCAGCCCCCTGCCAGAGACATGTGCACAATCTGGTCTATACGCAGACGATGTTGGCCACCGAAAGAAGCAAACCGCCTGAAACGCCTCCACAAAGTGGCCACAAACGGGCCCGTGCAACACCCTCTGGCGGCCCCCCTGAGGGATGCTGAAACCAGCGCCCCGCCTGAGACATCCTCACAATCTCTTCTAAACGCAGACGATGTTGGCCACCGAAGCAGGCAAACCGCTTGAGACAACCCCACAAACTGGCCGCGAACGGGCCCGTGCAATACCCTCTGGCGGCTCCCCTTAAGGGTACTGAAATCAGCGCTACGCCTGAGACATGTTCACAATCTGGTCTATACGAAAAGAATGTTGGACACCGAATCAGGCAAACCGCTTGAGACAACCCCACAAACTGGCAACGAACTGGCCCGTGCAATACTCTCTGGCGGCGTCCTTAAGGGTGCTGAAACCAGCGCGCACCGCCTGAGACATCCTAGAATCTGACATCCGCAAAAATACGCGGGCCACCGAAACAGGCAAACCGCCTGAGACATCCCCACAAACTGGCCGCGAACGGGCCCATGCAATACCCCCTGGCGGCTCCGTTTGGTGGGGGGCTGAAACCCGCGCCCCGCCTGAAAAAACAAAATCATTCACTGCATGGAGCTCCCCATATGTGCATCTATTCGCATGGACCTGTCCGCCGTGAATGTCTAGGCGCAAGAGTTTTCGAATACAGACGGGCTTGACGTTGTGAAAGTCTGGTAATGAATCTGACTGCGAATGAATTGGAATTTGAATGAGCCTCAGTAGTGCGAGCGCGTCTCTGCGCATGAGCCTGGGGCCTCCTGGGGCCTCCTGAAATCTACTGGGGCTTCCTGAGGCCTCCAGGAGCCGCTTGGGGCATCCTGCGGCCTGCTGGGACCTCCTAGGGAGGATTCGTGCCCCAGGAGAGGCCCAATATATAGCAACAAACGTGCATAAAACATTGCGGATCGGAGCGACAGGAGAGGGGCAATATGTAGGAACACACGTAAAACACAAAGGACTCGTGCCCTAGGAGAGGGTCAATGTATGGGTACATAAATAAAATATGTAGGATTGTGTACACAGGAGAAGGACTAGATATAGAAACATACGTATAACATCAAGGATTCGTGCTCCCGGTGAGGCCCAATCTATAGGAGCATACGTAAAACACATGGGATTGGAGCCACTCCAGTTGCCTTCTGAGGCATCCTGCTCATGGGGCCTATCGGGGCCTCCTGTTGCCTTCCGAAGCCTCCTGACGCTTCCTGTGGCCTCCTTGGGCCTCCTGTGGCTTCCTGAGGCCTCCTGGAGCTTCCAGGGGCCCTCTAGAGCCTCTTGGGACATCCTGTGGCCTCTTGAGTCTTTCTGTGGCCTCCTGATGCCTCCTGGGACCTCATGTGGCCTCCTGGAGCATGTTGGGGCCTCCTGTGGCATCCTGAGGACAATATGTGCCCACGAGTCTGGCCACCAAACCATCCAAACCGATCGAGACATCCTCAAAATCTGGCCCACCTGGGGGGGGAAATGAGCGCCTCGCTCGAGACATCCTCACACTCTGCTCTCCAAGCGAAGGATGTTGAGATAGAAGACAAGCAACCCGCTTAAGACATCCCCACAAAACGGCCGCGAGCGGGACCGTGCAATACCCCTGGGCGGCTCCCCTTAGGGGTGCTGAAACCAGCGCCCCGCCTGAGACATCCTCACAATCTGCTCTCCAAGCGAAGGATGTTGAGACAGATCACAAGCAACCCGCTTAAGACATCCCCACAAAACGGCCGCGAGCGGGACCGTGCAATACCCCTGGGCGGCTCCCCTTAGGGGTGCTGAAACCAGCGCCCCGCCTGAGACATCCTCACAATCTGCTCTCCAAGCGAAGGATGTTGAGACAGATCACAAGCAACCCGCTTAAGACATCCCCACAAAACGGCCGCGAGCGGGACCGTGCAATACCCCTGGGCGGCTCCCCTTAGGGGTGCCGAAACCAGCGCCCCGCCTGAGACATCCCCACAATCTGCTCTCCAAGCGAAGGATGTTGAGACAGAAAACAAGCAAACCGCTTGAGACGTCCCCACAAAACGGCCGCGAGCGGGACCGTGCAATACCCCTGGGCGGCTCCCCTTAGGGGTGCTGAAACCAGCGCCCCGCCTGAGACATCCTCACACTCTGCTCTCCAAGCGAAGGATGTTGAGACAGAAAACCAGCAAACCGCTCGATATATCCCCACAAAACGAGCCGCGCGCGGGACCGTGCAATACCCCCTCGGCGGCTCCCCTTAGGGGTGCTGAAACCAGCGCCCCGCCTGAGACATCCTCACAATCTGCTCTCCAAGCGAAGGATGTTGAGACAGAAAACAAGCAAACCGCTTGAGACATCCCCACAAAACGGCCGCGAGCGGGACCGTGCAATACCCCTCGGCGGCTCCCCTTAGGGGTGCTGAAACCAGCGCCCCGCATGAGACATCCTCACAATCTGCTGTGCAATGAAAAGGTCTGAGTATGAGTGAGTCCGGGTATGAGTGAGTCTCAGCATGAGTAAGTCTGAATGTGAGTAGGTCTGCGTAGGAGTAGGTCTGAGTATAAGTAATTTGATATGATCAGGTCTGAGTATGAGTAAGTCTGTGTATGAGTAAGTATGTGTATGAATAAATCTAGGTATGAGGAGGAGGAGGAGGAGGAGAATGAGGATGAGGAGGCGAAGAGGAAGGAGTAGGAGTCGTCCAAGTAATAACAAGAACCCCAGACTAATTTCTGCCTAGTTTCTTCCTGTAGAGGGACATACCAAGCTCAAGACTTGCACCATCCGTGGGTTATGCACCATCCGAGGCTTACGCCACGGTTGGGCTGTACCATCCGAGGGTTATGCGGGCTGTGTCGTGAATGCGTTGCCCCTCAGGGCTGCGCCTTTGGGCGCGCGGCAGGTTGCACCATGGGTTGCGCCGCAGATATTCCCTCGGCGGCAGAAACTGATAAAGCTCTACACGCGGATGTTGGAACAAAACAATGAAAAGTCATCAAACAGCATTCAATAATGGTCAACAAATAATGCAAAACATCGCCCCCAGACTGGTCTCTGCCTTTGTTTGGGTATTCTTCCTGAGGGACATACCCAGCTCAAGGCTTGCGCCACTGTTGGGTTGCGCCATCCGAGGGTTACGCGGACTGTGCCGTGAATGGGTTGCCCCTCAGGGCTGCGCCTTTGGGCGCGCGGCAGGTTGCACCATGGGTTGCGCCGCAGTTATTCCCTCGGCGGCAGGGAATGATACAGTCACCCGGTCGCCCAGCCAGTGGTGGCGCCACAGATTGGGCACACGGCAATAAAAAAGCAAACTAAATGGCCCGCGTGCGGTGGCATCATGGGTTGGGAACTGGGCGACCTAAGATAAAGCACCCAGCTACCCATCGGTCGGAAGAAGTAGGTAGGAACATGAAGCGGGAAGGCGTTGAAAGCAGATTGGGTGTCCGCCCGCCCCCTAAAAGAAGACGGAAAAGGTGAAGCCACTCGATCACTGAAGTAAAGTAGATTGGAATCTGGGAATCCAAGAATACCTACTTTCAACGACCGATGGATATTGGTTGCGCCACCGGAAAAGGTGAAGCCGCTCGATCACTGAAGTAAAGTAGATTGGAATATGGGAATCCAAGAAATAACCTCATGCCCGTGAGAATAAACACTAGGGGATAATAAAGTTCGGGGCTCAGGGAGAGATAATAAAAGTAGCCCGGCAGACCTCAGCATAATCTCGAAGTAAGAGATGATCAAGAGGAGACCAAGCCGAGCACGTTTTGAGACACCCTTGGCGTTTAGTTTTCATAGAAATATCCTCAACAATGGCTTATCTCTCATGAAAATTGTTGTTGTAAGTGCTCGTGTAGGGTAGCTCATGTGCTTCAATTTCCATGGATAATCAACCCCAGAGATAAAAAAGTTCAGGCGAGCGTGGGGACAGAGAGAAATATAAAAGAAGAAGAATACAGTAGAAGAATACTAAGAAAGAAGAAGAAGAAGAGGATAATAAGAAGAGGACGAAGAAAGGAAAAATCCAAAGTTCCAAATCTATCAATTTTAATTTACAAACGCTTTATGAACATTGATTTTTTAAGTGCTCGTGTAGGATAGCTCATGTGCTTCATGTTCCATGGATAATCAACCCCAGGGATAAGAAAGTTCAGGCGAGCGTGAGGACATATAGAAATATAAAAGAAGAAGAGGAAAGTAGAAGAATAATAAGAACATTGCTCGTTTCGTTTGAGTCTGCCTCCCAAAATTATTGGTTTCGCTTGACACATCCTTAAAAAGTGTGATCGCTTCGCTTGATGTTGCTATATAACATCGCTTGATGTTGCTATCTCAACATAGCGTTTCGAGGTGATAATGAAGTTCGGCCTCAGCGCTCGCCGCCCAATTTGAATTTTGTATAGGGCGACGATAATCAACTCTAAACACTGAAGGGGGGGGTCCCTTTATTATCATCGGCATGCGGTTACCTAATTACTTTCAACGACCGAGGGGCATTGGTTGCGCCACAGGCTGCACACTCGGCGGCTGGAAGTCAAACCACCTGCTAGCGTTCGCGCCACCGGCTGCGCACCAGGCGGCCGACTGCGCACAGGCGGCCGCCTACAAAAAACTGCATGCCAAGTGGCACGACCACTCGGTCTGTTAGACAGTCGCCAGTCGTCAATCGGGCGAACTTGAAGGAGCCCAGGGACACACAAATATGCACAGACAAATCCCAGGATTCCCAATAGTTCCTATACTTTCTGGAGTTTCGTCTTCCCCCCACTTCCCAGATTTTCCTATATTTTCTGGGGGGTCGACGATTAATTGTGTCTGTGCTTTCCCCCTGCTGAAATCTCCTCGCGGAAAACGAATTCGCGCTACGCCTAAACAACAATTGACAGGCAGCTGATCATAATGCCCGGTATCTGGGGCCTTTCCCAGACAGATTCGCCGACCCAGTCGGCGTGTGAGAGGCTTTTCGACGCGAGGTTGGCCCAACCCGAACTGAAGTGCGCCAGCCTATTTTGAATCGTCGTCGTAACGGAGATCGAAAAAACAAAGGCGGATCGAACAGTGTCTTTGTCGTTGTCGTTGCCGTCGTGGTCGGCGGCACTGGCCGCAAGGCTTTCACAATATTCGAGAGTATGACCCCACGGGAAGGTCGGAGGGGGGGGAGCCGCTAGAGGTCAGGAGAGCAAGACTTCCCGTTCTGCGACGGACCACGGTCGAACCACACTGGCCATCGTAGGGGGGGGCGCTCTCCGGGGGGAACGAACCCCGGCTTGAGAAAATCCGCGCACATTGAAACGATCATCCACTGAAGACAGCTCGAAAGGCTGCAAAGACGCTCTTGAAATTATTTGCGCGACGCGGAATCTAAACATGCTCTGGCGCCTGCTGTGCGGGCATCCGACGACATCTGTCGCTGGTCCCAGGCCGCAACTGTGTAGCTCTGCCTCTTCTTCGAGAGGCCATATGAGCCATCTGCCCCATCGCTCCCTGGCCTTCTTCCCCAACAAACTATTACGTCCCCTTGTGCGACTGCCCTGCTTGTCCTCTAAAGTGGTGAAGATCGGGCGCACGTTACGATGGATGCGTGATCCGTGGATCTGGTGCGTGGGCGCCAGATCCATGGATCGGGGAAGGTAACCCCGACAAATGAGGCCAGTGCCGCCTCGTTTGGTGACAACGCGCGCCGACTTTGCATGGAAACGGGACGCGTCGCCAATCCACGCTCCCCAATCCATGTTAGCGTTCCCACGAGTGAGAAGACTCTTGCGTCTGCGAGTCCAGCCCTTGCAATCTCCCCCTCCTCCGAGGAGGTGGGAGGAGGAGGAGCGCAGAGGGGCGCAGAGGGGGGGGGGAGCGGGGCGATGAGGGAGCGGGGCAGGGAGAGGGGACGTGGACTAGGAGGGCGGAGGGGCGGGGGTGGCGGAGGGGGGCGAGGAGGCGGGGGAGGAAGACGGGAGCGACTTGGGAGGAGGGAGGGAAAACGAAGGAGGACGTACTGCTTGTTCGATGCTGTGGTCCCTGGAAGTCCCAGCCCCTTCCCAAGGCCAATTTTGCATACCAGATCATTTCTTCACGGTACTGGGACGAGGCGCATAGGGGCCGAAGGCGAGGTGGAGAAAGGAGGCTATTATGAGAAATCCGCGCGGAGCTCCAAAAGTTGTGTTTATATGCTGTGTTTGCCTTGTGCGAGAGGAAGGGAGAACTTGCCTGAAAGAAACGGGTCCTGAGGGACACGGGTTCTGGACCCTGGGGCCTCCCTCTCTTCGTCCTTATGACAATGTTGTGGCAGCCCAGGGGTCCCTGGGGGGGGCCCAGGAAACCAAAAAGACCGACAAAACTCTGGACCCGTGTCCCTCAGGATACGTTTCCTACATTCGGAAAGGGGATCGACTACAGCATTGACCTACTCCGGAATGAGGGCGTCCAAGAGGGGGGGGCGCAACTCATGGTCGGCGGCACGTGCGCGGCCCACGGGGGGGACAGGGACGCAGTGGAATAAGAAGAGGCGCCGTGAAATCTGGGGAGAGATCATGGCCCCCGCCACGAGATCCACTCCCCAGGCAGCTCATGAGAGCCTCCCAGACCATCTTGCAAATCGACGCTAACAAACGCTGAATCGACGGCAATCGAAGCTACATTAACACAAGTCGACGCTAAATCGACGCTAACCGAGGCTAAATCGGCGCCATCGCATCGACTCCTAGACGCTCATTAAGAGGGTATACCAGGCTCCCAGGATTTGCTACCGAAACGCCCCCTGTCCTAGTCATCGCCCCCCTTGCCGCACGGAGAAACATCAGACATGGTCAACGCATACTCAAACATGGCCAGAAGTGGTCCACCAAATATCGCCCTTCAACTATGATCTCTGTACGCTTGACTCTTCTTGGACGCCCAAGTTATCCGGGGTAACTCGGGTCCGGGGAAACTCGGGTTTGGATTCCCGAAAAAGGAACCCGAGTTACCCCTGACCCGAGTTACCCCTGATGATTCGGGGCTCTGGACGCCCGAAATATCCGGGGTAACTCGGGTCCGGGATAACTCGGGTTCGGACTCCCGAAAAACGAACCCGAGTTAGCCCTGACCCGAGTTACCCCGGATGATTCGGGGCTCTGATCTTCCTCCCGTGCAGGGACATGCCCGCTCTGAACCCGAGTCACCACCCCGCTCTCAGCCGCCCCCCGCCGCGTGCGCACAGGGCCGGGCGCGGGCGCCCGCGCGCCCGCGATGGGGCCGCCGCCGCCGAGCCCTCGCACGCGGAGGAGCTCGGCGGGGGCCCGGCTCCCACGGGGCGGGCCGCGCGGCGGACGCGCCCCGCGGGGGCATGGCGGGTCCCTGCGCGGGCGGGCGCTGCTACAATGGGGGGGGGTTCGTCGGCCCGTATGAGAAGGACGCGCGATAAGGACGCCAAGGGCCTTGGAAGGCCATGTGCGAGGCTCGTCGAGCGGGGCGCGGCCCACGAAAGTGGCCGAGGATAGGCCGAAGAGGCAAGGGCGCAAGGGTACCCTTGGGAAGGCTGCCCATCCTTGCTGTGCGGGTCGACTGTAGTCTAAGCTTAGGTCGGGCGTGTCCTCCTACACAGGGGATTTTGCACGAAAGTTGAAGATAAACCAGAAATCCGCCGACCCCTCGTGGGTCTCTAGGCGTGTGGGATTGATTCTCCTTTCTAGAGATAAAATAGACTATACCCCCCACCCTCCCCGGAATTGTCGTCCCCCTTTTTCGGGTAAGTAAATCATATATGGCTCTGACCACATGTCCATCCCAAATATGAAATCGCAATGTCCCAGGCCAACCGATATCTCCCCCCTGAGGTTCCCTTGTTAAAAACACTATGCGGTGACATTTGTTGCTGTAAAATAGCATGTTACACGAATCCTTTTGCAAAAGTACGACGAAATGCACACGCGCGCGTCGTCGCGCGCGCATGCTGAAATCCTTCAAAAAACCTTCGGTGCCGGAAAGATTTCGCAATCGGGTTCCCAAAAAACATACATACGTAAACCCCAGGTTTCGCAACACCGGTTTGCTAAAAAAGTTTCCGCGCGAGCTCTTGCGAAATCTTAAGAAAACCATAGGTTTTCTAAGATTGCCACAACATGTTATTAAACGGGCTTCGCGCGCGCATGTCGAAATCTGTCAAGGCCATTGCGCGTGTGCCGTCGCGAGAATCCTCAGCAAAAAACCGGACGACGTGCAGACGCGCGCGTTGTCGCGCGCGTATGCCGAACAACTTCAAAACCCATCGGTTTCGGAAGGATTGCAAAATCGCGTGTCCAAAAAAACCTACATCAACCCAAGGTTTCGCAACACGGATTTTCAACAAAAGCGTGCGCGCGCGCTCTTGCGTCGTCGGCGTCTTCCTTCCTCCCTCGTCGTTGTCGTCGTCGGCGTCGCCGTCCTTCCTCCTTCTTCGTCGTTCGCGTCGTCGCCGTCCTCTCACCTCCCTCGTCGTTGTCGTCGTTGTCGTCGTTGTCGCCGTCGTCGTCCTCCCTCCTCCCTCGTCGTCGTCTTCGTTGGCGACGTCGTTGTCGTCGTCGTCGTTGTTTTCGTCGTCGTCGTCGGCGTCGTCGTCGTCGGCGTCGTCGTCGTCGCTGTCATCGTCGCCGTCGTCGGCGTCGTCGTCGTCGTCGGTGTCGTCGTCGTCGTGGTCACTGTCGTCGTCGAAGTCGTTGGAGACGTCGTCGGTGTCGTCGTTGTCGCTGTCGTCGTCGGCGTCGGTGTCGTGGCCAAGTGCCATCTGGTACCTACCGTCACGGTCTTGTCTTAAGAGGTCTTGCGACCAAGTTGCGGATAGGAGGGTGGGATGTTTGCACGAGCAGTGGAGAGGACAGCTTCAAGACGGTCAAAGTGACTCCCTCCATAAGCCACCCCGGGACCCCAAACCGGCAATTTGACACCCCCCCCTCGTCCGGCACGACCCACCCCCGAACTCACCAGGGGGGGGGGCGGGCCACCCAGGCTCGTTCTGTTTCTCCAAGACAGCCCGTCGAGGCCCCCAAGACACCCCCAAGACGGTCCAAGAGAGCACGAAGTCTCGGAATGATCGTTCCAACGCGCCAGAGAGCGGCCCAGGACGGCCCAAAAAGCCGCCAAGACACCCCAAGATGCTTCCAAGAGGCCTCTCATGAAGCCCCCAAGACGCCCGAATCGTCAATTTCCATTGGGAAAACGTGCAGTTGTAACATACGCTACTTTTCGGCCTTCACGGCGCTGACGACAGTCCAAAAGGCCCCCAAGACCGCCCCAGGACGGCCCAAGAGGCTCCCAAGGTGCCTCAAAGACATCCCAAGAGGGTTCCGAGACGGCCCCAAAAAAAAACCCAAGACGGCACAAGAGTGCCCCAAAACGGTTCAAACAGGGGCCCAAGAGGGAGACCTCGAACCCATAACCCCCACTTTCCATCCGAAGAGGCCCCCAGGAACCCCAAAGATGCCCCCCGATAATCCCCGAAAGGCCCCCAACAGGCACCCAAAAACCGCAGGAGGCCCCAAAAAGGATCAAAGAGACCCCAAAACGGCCCTCAACAGCCTTCGAAACTGCCTCCAAGGAACCCACAAGAAGCGGCCCCACGAGATCCCAACGGACATCCCAGACGCTTCATACCCACAACCCAAGCACTGTGGCGGGATGGGCCGAAGACAGCTAGATAACGCACGAAGTCCAGCTGTAGCGACGGTGCCGCCCCAGGACGCCCGATCCATCGCCTCTACTGTCATGTCTCCCCCCTGGCCCCCTAACCGCAACGTTGCCCAATTCCCTTCAGAAAACGCACATTTTTAGCATGTACGACTCATGTCCCTCCCCTGGCACTCCATTTCCCTTTGTATCACCCTTTTCTCTCCCGGTTCCCCCGCGCCGGCCCCAAGCATTCGCGCGCTGCCGCGAACGCTGCCACGGGTCTCACGCGCAGGCCTTGCACATCAGCGTGCGGTGATGGTGGGAACGCGCGAAGTGCGGTCCAATCGCGAACTGAGATTTTGGGAATTTCCTCTTGCAGGCGCCGAAGCACTCGTACGCTTGCCAATTCCGTGCTGTGAACCCGAGGTCCACGAAATCCGCGCAAACAACTTCGTCTTCCTCGTGAAGTGATCACTTTCTTGCCGGTCGCTGATGTGGTCCTGCCGAGGGAACTCTTTCTCGCGCGCCCCGCACTTCAGCTGTCGCTTCAATCATTTCGACTCATCGGCCACACCTTTCGCGGTGATGCCCCGCTTATCATAGCTTCCGCACACCGAAAAGCACCATCAAAGCCTTGAACTCAGGTAAGAGGTGGCGCCCCAAATGCTCCCAACCGCCAGTGTAGTAAAAACAAGGGGTCGGCGGATGTGGTGCAAGCCTGTAGAACCATCAACGATAATCGGAACAAATACTGGGAAAAACATCCCTGGACTGTTGTTTAACTATTTATGAAAATTCCCCATGTAGAGGGGCATGCCCGATGTACCTGCAGTCTAGGCCTCACACATGGGGTCGAGGCGGAGGGGCTCGGTGGATCGCGCCGCATC